TCAGCAGCAAAGTAACAGCAAGCCTGAAGTAAATGCTACCTATGTCACCAGGAGTATATACGGTAAACACTCACCCAATCTTTCTTCAAAGGACTTTGAACCACTTCACAAAGTGAAACAAGTGGAATACTCGATCTTCGCAAAGGTTGTTGTATACAGGGCTCAGTTGCTTGATATCAAGTGATCTAAAATTGTCCTCATTGTCCCTCAAATAGAGTGGACACCACACCAAATAGAGTGGATACCAGGGAATAGATGGAGTTTGGGCTCTAGTCTATTTCACAGTATTTTCAGTTGCTCCAGCGGGGTCCCTCTGATTGTTTCCCTGGTCTCTAGTGCATACCTGATAAATATTCTTAATAGCTTCTTGTTAGTTTCCTGACCTATGGAAAAAAAAATCCACTGTGGCAGGGAGGATCAAGTGAAAAATTCCTAAAATTGTACCTTCCGTATCCCAGCCAAGACAGCAAACCAGAAACAATACTGCATTCTGAGTGGAATTTTGGAGATTAGCACCACTTCCAAAGACTTACAGGATGCAGAGGTAGCATCTTCTGCATTTACCTGTATGGCATTTGCCATGGTGGAAGACAAGGGGATATTATCAACTTAATAAAGTGATAGTGCCAATCATGTCTACCATGTCAAGTATGGTACCTTTCCTGGAACAGATCAACACAGCCTCTGCATGATATGTGGCTCTTGTTCTGACAAACATTTTTTCAATCATTAGGAATATCAAAAGTGTTTATATTTATATGGAAAGGATAGCAATATGTATTAACTTGATTGCTCCAGAACTATGTTAGCTCTCCTGCTCTCTCTCACAGTGCAGTCTTTTGTTTTTTTTTTTGAGACAGAGTCCTTGTCGCCCAGGCTGGAGTTCAGCGGTGCCATCTCGGCTCACTGCAGCCTCCACCTCCTGGGTTCATGCGATTCTTCTGCCTCAGCCTCCTGAGTAGCTGGGACTACAGGCACGCACCACTACGCCTGGCTAATTTTTGTATTTATAGTAGACCTATCATTTATTTCCCGTATCATTTACATCTCTTACACTAATGCCTTTTCTTCAACTTACTTGTATGATCTCATGGAGAATCTTCAGTGGTCAATTGTATCAGTTATTTATTGCTACAATTATGTGGTAACAACCAAGAACAACAAAAAACTGTATGATAATCAACAGTGAGTATTTGTTATTCACATCCACAGCCAGCTGAGAATTGGCTAGGTAGGTTTTCTGACCTTGGCTGGTCTTGCTCATGTCTTGGGTTGGCTGATACATGGATGTAACAACTCATCTCTGCTCCATGCATCTTTCATCCTCATTAGACTATCCAAGTCATGTTCTTATGTCAATAACAGAGCCACAAGAAAAGGCAAGACCAACCAAGTGTTTGTCAAGCCTCTGCTTGGATCACATTTGTTAATATTCCATTGGCTAAGTTGAGAATCAAAAGTTGAGGCCAAATGCTCTATTCAGAGGGGGAGGGCAATACAAACATATGGCAAAAGGCATGCAATAGGGAGAAAGTGAATAATTGAAGTTACTTTTGCAATATTAGCTCACCAGCTGACAGGAAGCAGTGGACCTTGTTGATGCATGGACAAGCTTGATATATTGGTGTGGGCAAAAATGGCTGGCTGCCACACTGCTGCCTCTGACAGAGGTGGCTCTAACAATTAGTGGTGGGGAAAATAATCTTCCTGATGGACACAGCTTCAAACAGTACATTTTGTCATGATGTTGCTGAAGAAGCATGTAGTCTGAGTTAAGTACTATAGACTTTTGATCTTGGTAACTGGCTTGGCTGGTCAGGGATAAGGAGGGAGCGATATTGAAGATTAGAGAAAGCGAGATTTAAGGATGAAGAATGTGGACAAAACTATAGGAATGTGCACAAAGTGTGAAGATTTTTGTAGGACGAAATGTCAGAAAGAAAACACTGACTTGAGGAGGCAAAAATTAGGTGGACAGGATGATTTCTCCAGTGGATGTCAGCTAGCCTTGTCCTTGATTGCCCCAGGTTACACAATGAGCCCACAAATGGAGTAATCATGGTGGTAGAGATGCCGGCTATGCTTGGGCTCAACAGCTTGGGCTTCCACACTAATGGTCATCTGGTGATGAGCTAGATGAGCTAGGATTCAGCTACTGCTGAATACCCTATTTGTCAGCAGCAGAGACCAATGATTTGGTACTATTCCTTGAAGAGGTTAACCAGTCACTTGGGAGCAATTTATTTGCATTAAATTCCTTCTACCCTGGAAGAGGAGTAATTCTTTCTTATTGTAATTAATTACTACTCTTAACAGGGGCTTTCCTTTCCTTCCAGTGGCACCTCTGCCAGCATTGCTCTCTGATAGCCTACACGATGCCTATTACCAACATGGTATCTTGCATTACACTGCCTCAGATCTTCGGATTATTTTGTAGCAAATGAGTAACAATAGGTGCATGAATTGTTGGATCCACTGGTCTTACCGCATACAACATTATCCAGAAGAAATCAATCAAATAGAACAATGAAATGGTCTATTATAGGCTCACTGTAGGCACCATCTCAGAGATTCTGCAGGGTTGAAATGCTAAACTCTAGGATGTGGTAAATGCACTACAAAAATGGCTAGTATATGATGCCATGTCCTCAACTGCCAGGATTCATGGATCCAGGAACCAAGAGAAAAGAAATAGGAATGCCTAGACCAGCGGAATTTCTGATATAGAGCAGGAGAAACGTAAAACGGGTGGTGGAAGAAGATGTTAAGTACCAGTTTGGGCCTTGCGTCCAGTTGTAGTGATAGTAACTGTGGCTTGTCTCACTAATCTTCCTGTGTAGATTTTAGAAAGACTGTGGCTGGCTATCACCTTGTGACAAAGTAGACTTAACATTGGACTCAAGCAGTTCTGAACTGACTGCTTTTGGGTAGACTGCAGCAAATATCTCTTTTGCACATTCTGTCGTCCACTTCCAGTATCAGTCACAGCTACATGGATAGTTCTAGGTGAGTAAGCTCAGACTTGTCCTTTCTGTTGGTGAAATCCCACTGCAAGTCAAAGCCATGTATCTTTCTGCTTCCTGTTCCAAGTCTTTCTTCAACACTGGGGTGCTGCTTTCCCACACAGAAGCACAGCCTGGAAGTGCAAGGATAATTAACGACCCTGGAGGCAACTCTTAACTAACGGGGGATGGAAACTGGTTAATAAATGTTCCCACTTCTATTAGTTGAAAAACTCTGGGAGGCATTCTGAAAGTTCCTCAGAAGGTCTTGGAGCACTCAAACCCCAACTGTCAATCTTGATAACACACTCTTTAAATTTTATTATTTTTGAGAGTCTCACTCTATCACCCAGGCTGGAGTATAGTGGTGCCATCTGGGCTCACTGCAACCTCCACCTCCCAGGTTCAAGTGCTTCTCCTGCCTCAGCCTCCCAGTAGCTGGGATTACAGGAACCCGCACCACGCCCAGCTAAATTTTGTATTTTTAGTAGAGACAGGGTTTCACCATGTTGGCCAGGCTGGTCTCAAACTCCTGACCTCAAGTGATCCGCCTGCCTCAGCGTCCCAAAGTGCTGGGATTACAGGCATGAGCTACTGCATCCGGCTGATAATATACTTTTAAGTGATTTTCTCCCTTTTCCACTCCCTGTTTTTTCACTTCTGTTTTCTGGGATCACCTTGCAAATGACCTTATACACACAAGCCCTTTTCTCAGGCTCTACTTCCAGGTGAACTAAACTAAAACAGGCACAATTAGTTAAATGCATTTATATATTTTTTCACATAAGTACTTTAGGAATTTTCTAGACTGTGTATAAGTAACTGTGAATAATAATTACTTATTTGCAAGGTGAGGTGAGAACATTTTAATCCTGCTGCGCAAATTTTTTTTTGTTTAGGTAATACAGGAGTTGATGGCAATGATGGTTACTCATTCTGAACCACACTGAAATGACCTTCAATTTCCATCTGCTAATAAATACAGTCATGCGCTGTATAATGTTTTGGTCAACATCCCCTAAGATTATAAAACCACATTTGACTGCACCTTTTCTACATTTAGATATACAAATACCATTGTGTTACAACCGCCTACAGTATTCAGTACAGTAACATGCTGTGTGTAGCCTAGAAGCAATAGTTTAAGTACATTTGTGACGAAATCCACAATGTTTGCACAACAAAATCGCCTAATGACGTATTTCTCAGAATGTATCCCTGTTGTTAAGCAATGCATGACTGTATAAGAATATCTGACTTAAAAACACATATGAACTAATGGCCAAGTGGTGAAAGGCTGTGTATGCTAAAAAATACTACCAAAAAGTTCCATACCCATAACATATGTGATATGTGAGTTTTACGTTGTCACAGAAAATTTCAACCCAGTATTACTTTCTACCAGAAATGTCTTTAACAACTCATGATATGAATCCATATACTTTTCACACGAAAATATTCACAAAAATTGAATAATTCACTTAGCCAAATTCACTTTTTTTTTTTTGTATTGGGTCTATTATTGATCACTAAACTCACACTGACTTCATTTAAAATTGTTCATTGCATCGCTTTTTTTTTTTTTTTTTTTTTTAGATGGAGATTCGCTCTTGTCGCCATGGCTGGAGTGCAATGACTCAATCTCGGCTCACTGCAACCTTTACCTCCTGGGTTTAAGTGATTCTCCTGTCTCAGCCTCCCAAATAGCTGGGAATACAGGCAGCCACCACCACGCCCAGCTAATTTTTGTATTTTTAGTAGAGACGGGGTTTCACCATGTTGTTGCCCAGGCTGGTCTTGAACTCCTGACCTCAGGTGATCCACTTGCCTCGGCCTCCCAAAGTGCTGGGATTACAGGGGTGAGCCACTGTGCCTGGCCGTAATTGTTCATTGCATCTCTAAAATATTCCATCTTAGTATTTGTAGCACTAATTGTACTTTATTTAGGTTATCCTATTTTTCATTTCGAGGCCCTTTATTTTAGCGACAAGACACACCGGCAAGTTAAAAATGCTTTATTATTATTATTTTTTAACATAGAAGAAGCTTGGTAGTGGACATGTGGCCATTCGATGTTCTTATGACTAAGAGAGTTCAGGCTCATCTCTTACCGAATGTAAATGTACCCCTATGCATGCATATGTAATTCTTCTCAAAATTAAGCTTAGTCACTAAAAGAAGATTCGCTATCTGAACTTTCTTCTACAGTTTTTTCACTTTCACCATCAGGCACTGGAGCATCTGGCCTCCTAAAAGAAAAGGAAAAAAAATTTAAAGGTCTTTTCCAATTGAAAAGAACACTTACAAACTCTTAAAATTGGTTCATCTTAGAATATTGCTGCTAATAAATCTGCCAAGTCCGTGTCCTTAGTCTCCCGCACTACCCCACTAGCATGCTCCTCTCAGGCTTCTTCGGCACCACGGGGATTCAATGCTATGCCTGTAGAGGCCGCGGCAGTATTTTCTCTTGCCAGTCCTTACATAGTGCGCTGCTTCAGCACTTTCTGCTTCTCATTACCATGGAGACCCAACTACAGACAGAGATGCGATCTGTAGAGGCTAGCATGACCAGTGCTAAATCCCTGAAGCTTCCAAGTGTACATGAGGTACAGAGAAAGGAAAGCTAGAAATGAAAAGGAAACGCTTCATGTTCAGGAAAGCTTCAGGGAGAAACTTAGAAATGGAAGAGAGTTCAAAAATGGCTATTAAAAAATAGGTAATGTGGAAATTTTGTAGCGAAGGAGAGTGCCTGATCAAAAAAGGTTCTTAATGTTTGTTAAACGTTTTCACTTCCATGTTTTATCTTTACAGAATGAAAATAGAAAGTATGAGTTGGCAAAAATACTGTTTCAAAGATCCCCTAGGCATAATAAGGAGACATGAGAATGGTTAGATTCCAACTTTGCATGGATGTGCTCTAATAAACCTAAATGAAATTTTAATGATGTTATTAAAATAGTCAACTAGTTAAGCCTCAATAGTTTTGTGCCAGTAAATCATTTAATCAGTGCAGTGGCACTATCACTCAGCCTCTATTCACTCTTACCAAGAAAGTAAATTAAGCAAAAAAAGTATTTTCTGGGGGCGGGGGAAGCAAGAGGAAAAGGAGTAACAATATAACTGCTATATCTTTTTTTTTTTGAGACAGAGTCTTGCTGTCGCCAGGCTGAAGTGCAGTGGTGTGATTTCGGCTCACTGCAACCTCCGTCTCCCAGGTTCAAGCCATTCTCTTGCCTCAGCCTCCTGAGTAGCTGGAACTACAGGCATGTGCCAGCACGCCCAGCTAATTTTTGTATTTTTAGTAGAGATGGGGTTTCACCATGGGGGCCAGGATGGTCTTGATCTCCTGACTTTGATCCACCTGCCCTGGCCTCCCAAAGTGCTGGGATTATAGGTGTGAGCCACCGTGCCTGGCCTATAACTGCTCTATCTTAATAATTAAAAACTACCAGACTGATTTCTCCCTCAGGCTTCTTGACTCTTATTAAACATTTAGGACACTTAAAACTCTTATTCACCACAAACAGAAATTACTATTACTAAAATAAGAAAATGCATAGTCTAACAGTTACTTTAGGTATTAAAATTATGGCTCATATTTTTAAATATATTTGGCATACTACAAAAGAGAAAGAAATACTGGCATTGCTCCCTAGTTGTCAAATATAAACCCATTTGCTCTGCTGAATAATTTTAGATTGTATCTACAAGGAAGCCTTATGTACTCAATACAGTAAAATTTTAAAGCTAGGTATGGCGGTTCCAGGATTTGACTGATGCTCCATCTGCCTAAAATACTAACATGGGACCATCATCGTCATCGCTTTGCATTAGAAGCAACAACTCTAGAATTAGTGGGCATGAATACTAGGCACATTTTACCCAGTAAATTTCTCTTTGCTATATAGTTGATTTCTTACTGTCTACACTTTGTTAAGTAGGAAAACATTACCAGTGGGAATTATTTTTATACCACATCAAAATTATATTAGTATCTATGACAACTCAAACAAATACAACAATGTACATAACTTCCTAAAATAAATGCTACTTTAGAAAAGGGTAGGTCAGGGATATTGGTTCATGCCTGTAATCCCAGCACTTTGGGAGGCTGAGGAGGGTGGATTGCTTGAGCCCAGGAGTTCAAGACCAGCCTGGGCAACAGCGCAAAACCCCATCCTTTGCAAAAAAAACAGAGAAATTAGCCAGTAGCGGCCTATTGTGCCAGCTACTTTGGAGGCTGAGGTGGATTGCTTGAGCCTGGGGGGGCAGAGGTTGCAGTGAGCTGTGACCATGCCTGGGCACTCCAGCCTGGGCAACAGAGTGAAATCCTGTCTCAAAAAAAAAGGAAAAGGGTAAAAGCTTAGGACTAGAAGCAACTGAAACTATAAAATTCATTAATTTACATGTGTAACCATTTATTGAAACGTGATGCTATATTGCATAGTAATTAAGAATATAGGCTCTGGGTACAGACTGTCTGTGCTGAAATCCCATCCTTGTTTCTTGTTGGCCAACTTTGGGGAAGCTGTTTAACTACTTTGTGACTGATTGGATTTTGTGATGATTAAATTAATAAATGTAAAGTGTGTTTGATAATATCTGGCACATAGTATCAAATAAATATCTGCTGTTACTATGATTATTTATTTTCATCATCATGCATCTACTATTTGCTAGAAAATGTGTTAGGTACGGGAGATACAGAGATGAATAACGAGTAGTTCCTTCCCTGAAGCAGCTAGTATTTTTGTGAGGGAGACAGAAATGCAAACAAATTGTTACAGAATGTGATATAGCCATGTGCCACATAATAATGTTTCAGTCAGTGATGGACTGCATATGATGGTGGTCCCATTAGATTATAATGGAGCTGAGAAACCTCTATCGCCTAGTATTTACTATACTGTACTTTCTGTTATTTTATCTGATTTGACAAGGAGTCTCACTCTGTTGTCCAGGCTGGAGTGCAGTGGTGTGATCTTGGCTCACTGAAACCTCTGCCTCCTGGGTTCAAGAGATTCTCCTGCCTCAGTCTCTCGAGTAGCTGGGACTACAGGCATGCACCACCACACCTGGCTAATTTTTTTTAATTTTTGGTAGAGAGCAGGTTTCACCATGTTGGCCAGGCTGGTCTTGAACTCCTGACCTCAACTGATCCATCTGCCTCAGCCTCCCAAAGTGCTGGAATTACAGGCGTGAGCCACAGCACCCAGCCTCTCTTGTTATTTCATTTTGTTTTACATTTTTTGAGAGAGTCTTGCTCTGTCAGGCTAGGGTGCAGTGGTGCAATCTTGGCTCACTGCAATCTCTGCCTCCGGGGTTCAAGCCACTCTCCTGCATCAGCCTCCTGAGTAGCTGGGATTACAGGCATGCACCACCATGCCCAGCTAATTTTTATATTTTTAGTAGTGATGGGGTTTCTCTATGTTGGCCAGACTGGTCTCGAAGTCCTGATCTCAGGTGATGCACCTGCCTCAGCCTCCCAAAGTGTTGGGATTATAGGTGTTAGCCACTGTGCCTGGCCTCTGTTGTTATTTTAGAGTGTACAGCTTCTACTTACTTTTTGAAAAAAAAAGTTAATGTTAAACAGCCTCAGGGAGGTCCTTCAGGAGATATTGCAGAAGAAGGAATTGTTACAATAGAAAATAGCAGATTTATGCGTGTTATTGCCCCTGAAGACCTTCTAGTCAGACAGGATATGGAGGAGAACAGTCATATTGATGATCCTGACATGTGTAGGCTTTGTATGTGTTTTAGTTTTTAGCAAAAAAGTTTAAGAAGTCAAAATAAAAAGTTTAAAGAATACAGATATAAAGAAAGAAAATATTTTTGTATAGCTGTACAATGTATGACTTGTCTTTTAAGCTAAGTAGTATTACAAAATAGTTAAAAAGGTAAAAAAAAAAGTTGATAAAGTTATACTAAGCTAAGGTTAATTTATTATTGAAAAAAGTTTTTAAAATAAATTTAGTGTAGTCCAAGTGTACAGTGTTTATGAAATTTACAGTTGGTATAATAATGTCTTAGGCCTTCATATTCACTCCCTATTCACTCACTGACTCACCCAGAGCAACTCCAGTCCTGAAAGCTCCATTCATGGTAACTGCCCTATGCAGGTACCATTTTTTATTTCTATGTTTACATATGCTTAGATACACAAATACTTGTCATTGTGTTACAACTGCCTACAGTATTTGGTACAGTAATATGCTGTACAGGTTTATAGCCTAAGTATGTCGCACGCTATACCATTTAGGCTTGTGTAAGTACATTCTATGACGTTTGCACAATGACAAAATCACCTACAATGCATTTATTGTAACAGATCCCTGTCATTAAGCGATGCACAGCTGTATATATACAAATAAGGCTGAACTGTTTGAACAGAAAAAATGGTCACTGAAGTTGGTCAGAGAAGACTCCAAATAATTGGAAATACTTGTGAAGAATTTTATGATTCGAGTAAGACTTCGCCAGAAACAGAAAAGGTGGAAATAAGAGAGAATGACAGCATTCTGGGTAAAGAATAAAATGGGATGGTGTAGCAGGCTGCACTCAGAAACTGTAAGTCATTTGGTAGTTAGAGTGTAAGGTACCCCGGGGTGCAACATTAGATGAGATTAGAACATCTAGCAGGAGCAATAGGTGGAAACTCTGTTTAACCTTCCGAGGAACTGCCAAACTTTTCCGAAGCAGCTGTACCATTTTACATTTGTACCTGCAATGTATGAGGGTTCCAATTTCTCCACACCCTCAGCAACACTTCTTATTGTCTGTACTCATTCATTTTGTTCTTTTTCAATTTTTCTTATCGTGGTAAAATACAGATAACATAAAATTTAACATCATAACCATTTTTAAGTATACGGTAGTGTTAAGTACATTCACATTGTTGTACAACCATCATCACCATCCATTTCCAGAACTCTCTTCATCTTGCAAAACTGAATCACCGTACTCACTTATTAATATTCCCTTCTCCCTCCAGCTGCTGACAATCACTATTCTTTCTGTCGCTATGAATTTGACTACACTAGATACCTCATGCAAGTGGAATCATACAATATTTGTCCTTCTGTGATAGGCTTATTTCATTTAGCATAATGTCCTAAAAGTCCATCTATGTTGTAGCATGTGTCAGAATTTCCTTCCTTTTTAAAGCTGAATAATATTCCACTGTATGTATATACCATAATTGTTCCTATTCATCCACTGATGGTTACCTGCATTGCTTCCATCTTTTGGC